ACTGAATGGCCATGAGCAGAAAATGACTGGCTGGAGGAAGGATGGGTTGTGAAAAGATAAAGAACACTGCCCCAGCTGGTTTATAAACACAGCCATTAACAGGAGATATCTCCCATGGAGATAAGGATCAATGCCCCACCTGGTCTCAACAGATGGTGATAGAATAGATACTTAGATCACATCGTGTATTGTAACCCAAGACAGGAACCTCCAAGGCCAGGCTGGGCAGGGCTTGGAGCACCCTGGGACAGTGGGAGGTGTCCCTGCCCATGGCAGGGCGGCACTGCATGGCCTGAAAGGTCCCTTCCCACCCAGCCCAGTCTGGGATTCTGGGACTATCTCAGAGGTGAGTTTCAGTGGGATGCTGTGAATACCTCGTTTGGCAGAATTCATATGAAAAATCAGGCATTCATGCAAATGAGAAAAAATACCTACTTGTTGCTCGTCCAGATTCACTTGCATACCTCCAGCATGTGAATAGTAAGGAATCTGAGCAACCTGGACCGCTGTTTTGACTAAATGTAGCATTTTTTAGATCTCCTTTTATTTCTATAGTATTTTCAACTTTGCAGGTGCTCTGAACCAACAGTGATAGTGACAATATGGTGATTTTATCTACTGAAGAAGTGCTCCAATTCTGCATTTCTCTATCAGGATGTGAATTCCTTCAGCCATAAACCAGAATCCTAATTATTTATATATTGATTATATATATATATAAATTATTTCTGACCCACACTCTAGGAGATTTATTGGTGTAAAATCCACTTGTTGATTTTTATTATGCTCTAGGTGGTGGGAATGGTTATGATTGATACCCCACAATGATATTAATAATATTGTTTGTATATTTTAATGATTGTAACTCAGCTAAATGAGGATATAGATCTGCAATGCCAACATATTAATTTGGTAGTGGTACAAACATCTATTCTTCGTTAATGCAACTTTTATGTTCCCTTTTAATTTCATAGCTGATCCTTGTGTTAGTGTGCAGGGGCAGGCAGAAGCAGCTCCAGAATCATCCATCACAATTTATAAAAACTTTTTAGCAGTGTGTGGGTTGTCTCATGCTTGCAGAGAGGATATAATTCACTGCCTGTTTTCTGCTGCTGAGGAAACTGAGCCTTTCTCTGAGAGCAGCAGGAATTGGGCTTCATTTATTCTTTTACCTCAGAGGATCACAGAGTCCATGGAATGGTTTGGGTTGGAAGGGACCTTCAACACCACCCTGTTTCAATCTCAGTTTGCTCTAGAGCAGGCTGCTCCATGCTCCATCCAGCCTGGCCTTGATCCTCACATCCCTTCACTCTGAGAGTCCAGTACAGCCTTATCTCACAAGGAAAGTTTAAATTATTTTCCCTCACTATTAAACAGATGCCCTAGAAACATTTCTGAACAAAACAGGTCAGAACAGAAAAGGTTCAGTTACAGTCAGGGCCTTTCCATTACAACACTCGTGTGCCAGTGAGGTTCTTTGTCATCTTCCCAGTAAATAACTGGCCCAGTTGAACAATTCCACTGATATCAATCAGAAAGAAGCGTTTTCTTCATGCTCATGTTTGTGTTTATACATTACATGTGTGTATAATGTTCATGTAATGCTGTACACACAAAGTTGGATGGCCCAGATCTAAAACCAAATTTCAGTGTCTGCCACTGCTACCAGGTAAAAATCACTGAAGCAGAACCACAAGGAAAATAAAAAACAAACTCAGACATGGAGGTATTTTACTGGTACAAGTGTTGTTGATGGACATTCAGGTGTATCCTGTACAACTCTGGAAAAAATCAATAGCTAAGTTCCTTCAGTGCTGCTTGAAAAATTGTAGAGTGGCTTACAGTGATTCACAAACAGCTTTGGAGGGCTGTGAGTTCATGTGTGCTGCTGATTTAGAGCTGTGGGCTCATTTTTTAAAAGTTAGTGGACAGAAAGCAATCAGTGAATTAGATTGTGAAAAAGTAAAAGGTTTGTAGTTCGTTTGCTGCAAAACTCTCCTTGGTCCTGATTTACCAACCTTCCTAAATTCTTGTGAGGGCTCTGTATCAGCTGATCCTTTGGAGTAGACACTTGAGCCAGCAATAAGAGCAGACACTTTTGTGATAGGATGCTGTTAATCAGAAAACAATTTTGGCTTTTGGAAAAAGCAAGTCCCCTGTGGTGTAGGCTGGGCAGTGGCTGCAGTGAGGTGTGAACAGAAAGGTGAAACATTTGGGAAGTGCTGCTGGATCTCTCAACCCTCAGACATGGCTCCAAGGAATTCACTTTTAGGAGAGTGATGGTTTAGGAGTTTTTAAACCCAGAGATTTTATACATACTGCAATGTAATAAACTATAGCTTACTTTGAAAAAGCTGATCAAATAATTGGTCATTACTTGCATTTGTCTTCTGGGTACAGTTAAGTAAATGTACATGAATGATTCCACTGTTTCCATACTAAAGAAGCAGGAGCTGAATACTTGTTGAAAAAGAAAACAAATTGGTGGTTTAAGAACCACTGATCTGTAAAAATGAAATTTAAATTATATTCTACTGCGTTTTTCACATTCAAGACATGAAAAACATATCTAGTACATTTCCAGTTATTTGTGGCATTATAGGAACTTTCATCCCTGAAATTCTAGGACATATCCTTCACTGGAAAAAATCAGTTTTAACCCAGTAATGACTTCGTTAAATACAGTGTACAGTGCTCTTACACAGGAATCCTCCTTTTATCCAAAGGTCTCAGAACTTGATAGCTCTGCCCATTAAAAAAGTAAACAAAACTTTAACCTTCCTTCAGAGATTCATCAGAAAGGTCAGTGCTCAGTTCCCTCCAATTTCCCAGGCTCAGCTGGGAGCTGATTAAAGCTGCCAGCTACAACTTGTCAGTTTTGTCAGAGACAACTTTATAAACCCTTTGTTATTCACTTTGCTGTGTGTTATAAATATATTTATCTTCCTCTGTCAGGCGTGGACTGGACAGGTGCTAAAGGAGCAGCTAAGCTCTAACATTAATCTCTCTAACAATGTCATTACTTAGTAACTCAAACCAAAAACATGGGCAGAATATTCAGGAACTTTCTCTAGTTCTTCTCACAGGTGACTGGAGCGCTTAGGGGGAAATGTTTGTTATTCCACATCTCCAGCAAGTCTATGTCTGTAAAATCGGGCTCTGTGACTGGCTGTTATTTTGTGTCCCTGGAGAAATTTCCCTGAGCTTTCCTGGGTGTATTTGGGGCCCAAATATCACCTGAAATCAGCTCTCTCTCTTCCTTTCTGTAGTTGCTGAAGCTTGGCAGGTGTCTTCTACTGAACACATTCTACAGCTACAGGTTTAGGCATAACACTGTTAATCCTGTTTTATCCAAATCAAGTAGAACCTGTAAGTAAAACCCATATAAAATTAATTTAATCTAAGTAGAACTGTTCAGTTGAATGTCTTCAGTGAGGTTCTGCAAACTTGGCTGTTTTTCCTTTGAGTTTGGTCTGAAAGATTTTTGCTTCCAGGGGTCCAGATAAAGCAATAAAAGGCTGTAGGACATGAGCTGCAGAATGCAGAGCAGTGCTAGGAGGGGCTGTGCTGTGCAGGTGTCTCTGGAGCACACACACCCCTGACACCACAGCTCTGAGCAGGCAATGGGCACCTCACCTTCACCCCAGGCCAGCAAACTTCAACTTATCTTTGTGTCAGAGCTTGTGCTCTGCATTGAGGAGGGAGAATTCCTGCTCAGAGAAGGGCTGCTCATCTCCAGCCAGCATTTGGATGAGACCTGACTCATTTTCACAAGCCTGTTCTTCATTCAGGCCGGGGGTTGAGCTTATGCCTCTCTAAATAAGTTTAGGGGGTACAGTACAACACAAACTATTATAGGCAGGTGTGTGGTAAAGCATTCACTGTTACTTCTCCTCTAAAATGTCTGAATTAATTTCAAATCTTTTCTCAAGGACTTGAAACTACATATTGCCTTTCTCTAATGAAATGTGTAAAAATCAAAATGTGCCATCAATGTGAGTCTGGAATGGACAAAAGAGCAAAGGGCAGAGTGTGGCCTGGGTGGGCAGGTGTGGAGAAGTAGCAGAGGGTCATTTTTAGAATCTTCCATCCATTAATTTCCTGTTCCTGCTTTGCAGTCTAATGCATTGTGCCTGTGTGTCACTTATTTCTTTCATTTCTCAAGGGTCAGGAACAAACAGCACCATTTTAGGATTTTCACAGCGTTTCTGACAAATTCTCTGACTTTTGGACTTGACTGGAATATTATTTCAAACTGCAATAAATTGAAATCTGTGTTGATACGCAGCACTTCCTCAGAGGCTTTTTTTGTGTTCTGCTCTCAGAGCTGGAAGATGTGTCTTTTGCTTACACCGAGAATCACAAGCAACGTAAATTTAGTGGCTTAACAAATTCCCTCCTGGACTTTTCATCACCCAAACTGATGTTTGTAAGTTTGAACATGCTGTTCTCTGTAAGACAGTCTGTTCAGGAATCAGGATGAAGAAAGACAAGCAGAGGATTTCTTCCAGGTCATGTCTGAGTGAAAGTGTTAATGTGAACATGCTTGTAGTAGACTTTAGTTTCTAGTTATAATCAATACTTGACATATTTTTTCCATGATTAAATTAAAGCTGGGAAAGTGAGATTTCCCTGAGGAGAAAACAAGTGGCAAAAGAGTTCATTGGTGATCTGCACCTAATCGAAATAAGTGTTATAATTACCTCTTCTCTCATTCATTTCTTTGTCCCTGCTCCCTCCCCCTGGCCTGGTGCCCAACAACTTCCTGGCTTATCACCCACATCAGAGAAAGAAAGAGTTCACACACTTGGATTTGCTTTTTCAGGACTCTGCAGGATTCCTTACGAGTCAGGTAAAGGAAAATTGTATTAGAGCTGTGTTTCTTCTGCATAATATTTCCCAACAAAATGCACTGAACATCCTTAAGGCTCCATGTCAGCACCCTCATGGGAGTGAGGCATTTTCCTCACCAGGAATGAGGACAGACTGGGTTCCCACTAACACAGACACTTCAAGCTCCTGGAGGGATTTTTCCCCTAGAGATTGGTGCTTTCTTTGCCTTGTGTTGCCTGGATTTTACCCTGCTGGGCTTGAGCAAGCTGTGGGATGTGGGATGTGGATGTTCACACTCACTGGGGCTGACTCCTGAATCCTCTTCCTGCACACCCATCCCTACCTGGCACTGGGCTTGCTGCTGTTCAGGGACTGACTCAGTTGGCTCTCTGAGGGCAGCTCCAGGAAAATGAAAACAGGAATCCAAATAGCTTGAAGAAAGACATCAAGTAGAAAAATGTAACTGGAATCATTTAAAGAGTATT